TCATATTACTGATTTACTGGTAGTCACGAAAACAATACTTAATTCAAAAAATAAAGTATAGTAGTCGATTTTTATAGCAGATATACGTTTTCCTCATCGGCAATTCCACCAAAAGAATATGATATGGCAAAAAGGCCTGGCCTTCCTTGAAAATTCACATTTGCCCTGTGACCCGAAAGTCGCTCGTGGCATTGTAGCCGAGTGGTTAGCGTGTCAAGCTCCCATCCTGCACTGACGCGGTTCGACACCCTCTGAGGGTGTTGATAAGACCTATGCGAGGTCGAAACTGCAGTCTACTATTGATGAGAACAAGTTTTGGGAAAGCAAGGCTATGTGAAATTCAATGGAAACGTGAACTCAACTCATATCAGTGGGAAAATTCTTCTTCTACCAGTCCTTCATCACCTTAGACGAAATTGGGTGAACACATCTCACATAAATATTAATTTTTCGCATTTAAGTATTGTTTTGAGACTACCAGTAAATCAGTAATATAAGATGTATTCACCCAATTTCATTTAGGAAGAATTTTCCCACAATTATATGAGTAGAGCTGACGTTTCCATGGAATTTCGCATTTCCTTGCCTTCCTAAAAGTTGTTCTTATCCAAGATGGACTGCAGCTTCAAACTCGCATCGGTCTTATCAACACATCCAGGTGGACAGTGCAGAATGGGAGCTTGACACTATAACCACTCGACCACATTGCTACGAGTACCCTTGAGTCACAGGGCATAAGTGAATTTAAAGGAAGGTGAGGCCTTTTTGCCATATCATATTCTTTGGTGGGATTCCGATGAAGCAAACGTATTTTGCTATAACAATCGACTTCGTTACTTATTTTCGTATTGGAATAGAGTTTCGAGACTACCAGTAAATCAGTAATATGAGAGGTATTCAACCTATTTCGTCTAAGATGATGAGGGACCATGTGACCCAAAAGGCGCTCGTGGCAGTGTTGCCGAGTGGTTAGCCTGTCAAGCTCCAATCCTGCACTGTCGCGTTTTGACTGCCGCTGAGGGTGTTGATAAGACCGATGCGAGTTCGAAACTGCAGTTCACTCTGGATAAGAAGAACTTTTGGGAAAGCAAGGCAATGTTAAATTCAATGGAAACGTTAGCTCTACTCATATCATTGTGCGAAGATTATACTACCAATCCTCCATCACTTTAGACGAAATAGGGTGAATACCTCTCATAGCACTTACTTGTCATACTGGTGAAAGATCAACGGAGAAAACGAATTATTAAATTAAAAAATCATTATAATGCCCCTATTTTATTCTAGCATTCTAAGAGAGAATCGATTGGTTCAGCTTGATATTTAAATAAATATTTTAGTATTATATTCTTTCGTTTTTAAATTTTAATTTGAATAGAAAGTCAAAATTAGATTAAAACTATAGGGTTTTCAATAATAATGATAGTTTTTATATTAAATATACAAAGGATTATAGAACATAAAATTCTACAATCGATCCATCATGCCAGCAAAATCTAAGAAAGCGCACTTATATTCGGGTATTTTCTCAGAAGGAAATCTTGGCCCAGATCCTTCAGCCACAAAGCAGGCGATTCTATACACAATTGTGAGGATGTAGTCAAGATTGTCGTCTCTTGATAGCTGGCTGCTCTTCTCCTCTTTGCTTTTGGAGGACACTTTTCCCCCACTGATTTCGGACTCCTCCACTCTCATCGTAGATGCTGATGCTGAATCTAAATTAGCTTGACCGGCATCTTCACATGATATGGAGCCTAACCGACTTAGTGAACCAGGCGAGCCAAAAATCTGTCCAGGGCGTGGAAGAAAGAGTTGCCGATAGAGTTGTTCTAAAGCTTCTGATCGCAAGGTCTCTGCAGATACTACCTTGTCTGGACTTGCAGGTTTGTGCAATTCATCTGATGATCCGGGTTCAGAAGCCCCCAAAATAGATGAGGAGGCGGGTTCTGTCGCAAGTGATTTCCGACTGGATTTATTTTTCTGTTCAATATTGATATTTGTACATACATGCCAGGATAAGAATGAAAGCACACATAATTTACGATAATTCGTTTGTCGAATACATATCTGAAACAAGTTAATACTAACGACCAGCTTACTCATAATAGAGACTGCCTACTATCTAATCTCAAGGTAACAGTAGTTAAATGGGAAATTTTTGAAATAAAATTAAAAGAAGTGTTGGAGTGACTTCCATTTCGTATGAAATTGCGTGATGAAACGATTAGCAGATTGCATCAATAATATAAAAAGGCGAAAAATTCAGAGTTGGATTAAATCTATAGAGTCTTTAATAATATTTATTTAAAAAAGGTAAACTAATAACTAAAGAAAATTAAAACTCAACAGCCTGTCTGTAATGCCAGCAA